GTAGTCTGTGTTTTTAATGGTACTCTAAGTTTTTAGTGGTATATTTTTATATAAAGAATACAGCCATATTCTTTATATAAAATAAAATGGTTATATCCTCTTGCATTTTTATCTACTCTATGGTTTTTATCATGTAAGCTTTATACAATGATGCTCTTAAAATAACAAGGCAGCTTTGTATGTGCTGATATGATCAGTTGACAAAACATCTTACATGAAGAAAGCAAGGTATAGAACAGTATGCATAACCTGCTTCATTTGTGGAAATGTATGTGTAGTATGGCAATGCATTGAACATCTCTGGAAGGACATATGAAAGTGGTAATGGGGTTGCCTCTGGGGAGTGAAGAAAACAGATGGCTGGGGGACAAGACTAGGAGAGAGATTTTTTACTCTCTTTTTGTATCTTTAAAATTCTATGTCATGTGAATAACCTATTCAAAAAATAGATACAAGATAATTGTGAAGCATTTGTAATTTGGCTTCTTCACTCTTACTAATGTCCAGATCTCCTATTCTCAGCCACGGATAAAAAGTAGCTTTATTGGCAAAGACATCTTTTTTTCCTTCACTGCTTCCTGACCTTCCATTCTTTCTTGTAGGACTTTACTGAAGGCTGCATAAAGCAGCCAACCTGCTCCAACAATCTGAATTTTTCCCTTCCATTAGAAGGGAAAATACTTCAGTAGGCAGATGGTCTGAGTCCTGAAATGTAACAGATGATGGTTTAGTTATTTTGCTAACTTGCCAGACTGAGATAGAGGGGTCCTCACTACCCTTCACCTGACCCTTTTGGCCAAGCCAAGTCTGTATTTTAGGTTCTGTTACTTACAAGAATTTTTACCTGCAGGGTTATTACACTGAATAGGTACTTAATATTATTATAAATGCATGAATGAATAATTTTATCTAAAGAAATAAACGACCTAAGATAGTTTTCAATGTGTTTTTGACAGAGATTCTTTTAATCAATATTTAAGATTTCCCAGTTGTCCATTAATTATAGCTGTCTTTTTCCTCCTGATCTAAGGTCCTGTCAAGGTTCATATATTGTATTTAGTTGTTATATCTGCTTAATCTCTTTTAATTTAAAAAAAAAATCCCAGTCTTTTATGTCTGTCATGTTGTTGACATTTTTTTAACTCATTTAAAACATTTATTGGCCACCTATGAAATGGCAGGCATGGTGTCAGGTTCTAGGCATTTGTACATAATAATCAGTAAAATGTTATAAATACTATGATAAAGACCATATAAAGTCCAGAAGGAGCACAAAAGAGGCAGATGTCTGTCCTCTCTCAGATTCAGGAAAGACATGTCAGTGGGGAAATGACATTTCAGCTAACTTGAAAGATAAGCAGACAAAAAAGGGAAAGCAGAAATCATCATATGAGCAAAATATATGTATTACTTTTTATGTTTTTGCAAAGCACACAGTTTAGAGATCTGAGTCACCTGTGAGGATATTACCATGAAACATGAGTCAGGAGAAACACACAGGAGCAGGCCTTTGTATGCTGGATCAATGTATCTGGACTTCCTCCTGTGTTTCAGAATTCAAAAGCTTTAAGGGACAGGCAGAAAACAAACACAAACATATGATGTGAAATGATAGACCTGTGGCAAACTGAATTGTATGAGTTCTGCCTAAAGACATTCAAATTTGGGCTGACCAAACCATGCCAATGGGCTGGATTCCACAGACAGGACCCAGTGAGGACTTTTGAGCAGGCACTCGTGACAATGTGGAGAGGAGCTAAGTTGGGGATGATGGGGACAGGAGACAGATCACAGGTTGGATATAGACACCCCAGTGTGAAGGAGGACAGACACCTCATGCCTATCAGGTCTCTGTGATGACTGTTAAAATCTCAAGCTCATTCTTGGCACTGGACATACATAGCATTCTGAAGGCAGAGGTGCTTCCATCCCCTTTTCTGCTGTGTCTTCCTCTGGATGAAACACATTCCTCACTACCATCTCAATACGTGATCTAAAAAAATTTTGTTTTTTTCACAAAAAGGATATGGTAGGCTGTTCCTTCCCCTTTCCTAGCTTTCTTTCACCCACATGGGTAAAAGTGAGAGGCCCTCAAGTCTCCAAAGTGAGTGGCCTTGCTTTGCCCCTATGTCCTTCAAGTTTCTCACCCAGGAGTTTTCATTATCTTTGACTATGTTTTCCACATTTCTTCTCAAAGTATCATTTATTTCTGTATAAATAAGCAAGAAAATGGAGCAGAGTTTGATGAATCTCAGTGAACTCATCTGTCATTTTCACATGAGCTTCAGACCACATCATGCCTCCAGATTAACAACAGTACAATACACGTCAACTCTGGCCACTCAGCAGAAGGCCATCCAAGCACTGCCCTGTCTCCCTCATCCCTAAGAGCAGGAACAAATGTCCTAGTACCTACCAACACCTGAAAGTCTTTCTTTCGTTCCTGTGAACAATGATCACCAAACATTTTGGTCACATACTGTATAAAAACAATAATAATAAATAAAATTTAAAATTTATTGTCTATCCTCAATAAAAATATACTTTAAAGGTACTAGTGTTAATCTATATTATTTATATAATCTTTTTTTTTTATTTTTATAGAAAACAGGTAAGTACTGATATTTCCTCCCCACATCAGCAGATTATTTGTGCATAACTATACCTGCTGTGTAATTCCCAGAGACCGTGTAATTCCCAGAGACTGTGTAATTCCCAGAGACTGTGTAATTCCCAGGGTTCAGAGTTTTTTCTCCTCCCCTTTTTTCTCTGTATCAGTTCTTCTACTCACCAACATCTCAACACTGATTTGAGTCCCTCTCTCCCTTCAGAATCCTTTATTCCCTGGCTGTTTATTCTCAGCAACTCCGTCCATTCTGCCTAAAAACTCTTTTAAAATCTTTAACAAAGTAACAAACAGTCCTTAGGACAAGCCAGGGTTCTCAAGTGAAATTTCAAATCTCTGTGAGGCTTCCCAATACCTTCATGCCAGAAGGTAAACACATTACTTGCCTATCCCCAGTGGGACATGAAGTTCTAGCCTTTGGGCTCTAATCTCATTGACTTTTTTTTTATTAGCCTGGGCCAATTGTTTGCAAGATGTCACTTTAGTTTAGATAGTTCTGAAATTTTTTATTGTTAAATTTAGGTTAAATATTCTTCATGAAAATACTACACTGGTGATGGTGTGCCTTCTCAAGATATCATATCATGTAAAAGGAAATTTTTAACACAGTAGACAAGCAGACTACTATGGCTTGATGGGAGGTCTAATTTGAATTTTCAATTCTCCGTGTTTTAATTTTATAGTAATGAAGTAATTTCTTGGTGGTTTGGCACTTAAGATAGACTTGATATCGATAAATAGTGTTTTATCCAATTCATTGGCTATCATTTTGGAACAACAACAAAAAAAATTTCCCTTTTAAGTTGATGAGTTTCTAATGATTGGAGGAGTTGCTAAAATCAAGTTTCTGCCTTTTGAAGCTAAAAGCCAGCTGGCAATAATATCTACCTCATAGGGTTGAAGTGAGGATTACTTGAGATGTTAACAGACATAAAATATAACTGAGAGTAATATGTTTCATGAAAGGGCTCCGTTAATATAATTAACCCCACTCAGATACTTATTTTAAACCACACATACACACACACACACACACACACACACATATATAGCATTTATTATTGAAAATGATACCTTAGGTACTTTGTGAATGTTAATCCTTATAACACCTCTATTAGTTGGATACTGTTATTATCCTCATTTATAGATAGGAAACTGTAGCCCAGAGAAGATAAGTAACTTTCCTAAGGTCATAAGCAAGGAAGTGGTAGTATTTCCTGCTATTTTTCTGTGAGACCCCTCTTGAAAGTAAGCAGCCTGTGTAGCTACAATCTGTATTTGAGGATGATTTTCATTCAGCTTCTCCTCCTAGTTAGTTGCTTTGCCCTGTCATCCTCCTCCCACCACAGTACTCTTTTACCAGATAATGATGGGTGTTTGAATGGCAGTACCACAGTCCATACAGGTGTGTGACACTGTGTGTTTTGCATGTGTATGCATACATCAGGCGGCTTAAATGAGTTGTTTTTCTTACTTCTTTGTTGCTTTCTTCATTTTAATGTAAGTTTTTCTTTTCTTATTCTCCTTTTGAGATTTTTAAGCATTAGAATTAGGCAGACCCAGATTTAAGGTGAACATTTGTAAGACAGTGTTCTCATCTACAAAATGGTAGTACTAACACCTATATCATGAGATTGAGTGAGGATTAAATTAGGTGATATTGCCAATTATAAAGGCTATATATAGGTATTTTTCTATATATTTTATACTACATTTAGATGAGTTGTTGGGGATTTTTTGGTATTTTTTGATATTTTCCATTTTAACTTAAAAAGTTTGGAGTTTGTTTAGTGGTGATGGTGATAAGACTAGCAAACTCCTTTTAATTGGGCTATAATAGAAAGAGTAGGTTTGAAGTTAAGCTATTTAATATTAAATCCCAGAGCCTCAATTACCTCATTTTAAAGTGGGAATGTTAATGACTATCTTGTATCATGATAGTGATCACCATTATATCTCCAGTGTTTCCCGCAGTACCTGGCACAGAGCAATAAATATTGTTGAATAAATATCAAATAAAAAGATGTTGAGAGGATTAAATGAGATATAAAGGATCTAGCATTGTGTCTGGTAGATAGTAGATATACAAAATTATACTACTATTTTTATCAATGATTTTTAATTTATTAAATATATTTCTTCTGGTTATATTATTAAACATATGAAAATAAAGTATATAACATTTGCTTTAATTATTTCTGGTAGTTAATCACAGTATTTCTGAAGGATGAAGATACTAATACCTTGATTCTCTCTAGTTCTTTGGCAAACATCCATTGATGTTTGGAAGTGAAAAAATGCCAACAATACTGTTATTGATTTTGAAAACCAGCCTTTAAATAAATGTGTGTACTCAATGTTATTTCTGTTCCAGAGAGAAGAGGTACTCCCTTATAGGGACTTGTAAAGACATAGAGCATCTGGAAATTAACCGCCTCCATTACGCTGCTGAGTCACACACAACGCTTGTTATGTTTTCGTCACTTCTCTCCAGAAGGTAGGCATCATGGTTTCTCTTCATAGATTCTTCATACAATTGTAGTTTTTGTCTGCAGACTTAGTTTTTATTAAATATGGAAAGTGCCTGACATCTATAGATTAAAATGCTGTATTTCTCCAAAATTAGTATGCTTAAACACGTTGCCTCTAAAAATTATTTCTATTGGAAAATTAATACATGTTTACTATTTTTTTTAAAAAAAAAGGTAATACAGAAAAATATAGTTATCCTACTACCTTGAGGTAACTATTCTTCATATTTTGTTATATCTTCCTAAATTTATTTTTATATATGTGTATTATGTATAATATGTGGATTTATATAGTTACAATAATTATGACTAGACACCATAGGGCTTAAATGGTGTTTCCCTATCCTGCTTCTTTTACTTAGCAGTTTATTTCAGCCTTTTAAAAAATTTTATTTATTTTTTCTCCTCCACTTTTATTTTAGATTCAGTGGGTACATGTGCAGATTTGTTAACTGGGTATACTGCGTGATGCTGAAGTTTATGGTATAGATGATCTCTTCACGCAGGTACTGAGCATAGTGCCTAGCAGTCAGTTTTTCAACTCTTGCTCCCCCTTCCACCCTTTCCCTCTAGTAGTCCCTGTTGTCTATTGTTGCTATCTTTATGGCCATGAGTACCTGATGTTTAACTCCCACTTCTATGTGAGAACATGCAATAATTGGTTTTCTGTTCCTGTGTTAATTTGCTTAGGATAATGGTCTCCAGCTGCATCCAGATTGCTGCAGAGACATGAGTTCATTCTTTTTTTATGGCTGCATGATATTCCATGGTGTATATGTACCACATTTTCTTTATCCAATCCACCATTGATGGGTACCTATGTAGATTCCATGACTTTACTATTAAGAATAGTGCTTAATATTGTGAATGCATGTGTCTTTTTGGTAGAACAATTTGTTTGCTTTTGGATGTGTACCAAGTAATGTGATTACTGGGTTGAATGGTAATTCTGTTTTAAGTTCTTTAAGAAATCTCCAAACTGCTTTCCACAGTGGCTGAACTAATTTGAATTCCCACCAACAGTATATAAGCATTCCCTTTTCTCCACAGGCTCACCAACATCTGTTGTTTTTTGACTTTTTAATAATAGCCATTCTGACTGGTGTGAGAAGGTATCTAATTATGGTTTTGATTTGCATTTCTCTGATGATTAGTGATGATGAGCACTTTTTCTTATGTTTGTTGGCCTCTTGTATATCTTCTTTTGAAAAGTGTCTGTTCATGCCTTTTGCCCAATTTTTAATGGGGCTGTTAGTTTTTTGCTTGTTCAATTGTTTAAGTTCCTTATAGATTCTGGATATAAGACAATTGTTGGTTGCATAGTTTGCAAATATTTTAGCCCATTCTGTGAATTGCCTATTTACTCTGTTGATAATTTCTTCTGCCATGCAGAAGCTATTTAGTTTAATTAGGTCCCATTGCCAATTTTTGTTTTGTTGCAGTTGCTTTTGAGAACTTGGTCATAAATTCTTTCCTAAGGCCTATGCTCAGAATGGTGTTTACTAGTTTTTTTTTTCCTACCATTCTTATAGTTTGAGGTCTTACATCTAAATCTTTAATCCATTTTTAGTTAATTTTTGTATATGGTGAAAGGTAGTGATCCAATTTCATTCTTCTGCATGTGGCTAGCAAGCTATTGAATAGGGAGTCCTTTCCCCATTGCTTAATTTTGTCAACTTTGTCAAAGATTAGATGGCTGTAGGTGTGTGGCTTTATTTCTGGGTTATCTATTCTGTTCCATTGGTCTATGCATCTGTTTTTGCACCAGTACCATGCTCTTTTGGTTACAGAAGCATTATAGTATGGTTTGAAGTTGAGTAACGTGATGCTTTCAGCTTTGTTCTTTTTGCTTTGGATTTGCATTGGCTACTCAGGCTCTTTTTTTGGTTCCATATGAATTTTAGAATAGTTTTTTTCCAATTCTGTGAAAAATGACATTGATAGTTTGATAGCAATAGCATTTAATCTGTAGACTGCTTTGAGCAGTATGGCCCTTTTAACAATATTGATTTTTCCAATCCATGAGCATGTAATGTTTTTTCATTTGTTTGTGTCATCTGTGATTCCTAGCAGTGCTTTGTAGTTCCCCTTGTAGATATCTTTCACCTCCTTAGTTAGATGTATTCCCAGGTTTGTGAATGTGTGTGTGACTATTGTAAATGGGATTATGTTCTTCATTTGGCTCTCAGCTTGAACATTATTGGTGTACAGAAATGCTACTGATTTTTGTATACTGAAACTGTGCTAAAGTCATTTATAACTTCCAGGAGCCTTTTCGTGGAGTATTTAGTGTTTTCAAGGTATAGAATATATCATCCTATTGCAGCAACTTTTATGCCAGTAAATATCATCTACCTTAAATTCCAGTTTAAGGTTATAACATGAATCATGTAACCACCTTCCTCTTATTAAATATATAGAATACTTCCAGTTTTCGTGCTCACTTCGGCAGCACATATACTAGAATACTTCCAGTTTTCTTTGTGTTAAACATGACTTAAGTGATATGTACTCATATCTGATGATTTTTTAAGATAATTTCTAAAAGTAAGTGTTATAGAGCATAAGGAAAGACTTATTCACTATCTTAGAGATGTATGTCCTAGTGTATAGTATTATCGTATACCAAGGTTGTAGAAATCAAACTTATTTAACCATGGAATGCATTCTTAAGATAACATATGCCTTCAAGATGTTGATAGTGAGGGAGGCAGTGTGGAGATGATTTAGTCAGCGTTCTCTTAGAGAAACAGAACTAATAGGATATATATATGTCTATTGTCTATGATTCCTAGCAGTGTTTTGTGTATACACACACACACACACACACACATATATTTGTTTCTATCGTCTATGATTCCTAGCAGTGTTTTGTGTATATATACACAGATATATACGTATCTATGTATATCTATATATGTATATCTATGTATATAGATATGTATATATGGATATGTATATATAGATACATCTATGTATAGATATATGATATATATATGTATATATACATATCTATATACATATATGTGTGTGTGTGTATATAGATACACACATAAAGGGAAGTTTATTAAGTATTAACTTGCAGGATCACAAGGTTCCACAGTAGGCTGTCTGCAAGCTGAGAAGCAAGGAGAGCCAGTCTGAGTCCCAAAACTGAAGAACTTGAAGTCCAATGTTCGAGGGCAGGAAGCATCCAGCACAGGAGAAAGATGTAGGCCTGGAGGCTAGGCCTGTCTCTCCTTTTCACATTTTTCTGCCTGCTTTTACATTTGCTGGAAGCTGATGAGATTGTGCCCATCCAGATTAAGGGTGGATATGCCTTCTCCAGCCCACTGACTCAGATGTTAATCTCTTTTGGCAACACCACACAGACACACCCAGGATTAATACTTCGTATTCTTCAATCCAATCAAGTTGATACTCAGTATTAACCATCACAGGAGGCAAGGGGTATATGGGAGTCTCTGTACTTTCCACTCCATTTTGCTATGAAACTAAAACTGCTCTGAAAAATAAACTCTATTAAAAAAAAAAAAAGCAGCAGCAGCAGCAGCAACAGAAAAACTTTAAAAAGGGAAATTTTTTAAATGACATTTGATAAATTTACATTTAAAATTAAGTTTACACTTACACAAACACAAATAACATCTATCAACATCCCACTATACACTTTGGAAAATGCTAGATTATGATATATTCTTAAGAATGGAATTGGTAGATCAAATAGTAAATAAATTGAGAGGTTATACCAATTTACATTTCTACCAACAGTGTTTGACAGAATGAGAATGTCACTTTCTCTATAGTTTTGTCAACATTTGACATTAACTTTGTTTTTTACAAAATCTGATACAAGAAAAGTATATGGCATTTTAATTTTCATATGTGTGATTACTACTGAGCATGAGTATCTTTTTATATTTTTATTTGAATTTTAAGTTCTTTTATGAATGTCCCATTCATGAGCCATGCCAAATTTTTCTTGTGGGTGGGGTCTTTGAATTTTTTCTAGATTGATAAGAATCATAATCATATTAAGAATATTAAATCTATAAATTGCATATATCACAATTATGTCTTCTTTTTTATTTTTAATGTTTTGTGTCTTTATTTTTGTTATATAATGTTATCATTTTTATGAGCTTAAACCTGTCATCTTTATCAAAACCCATGACTTTTGGGTTTTGATGTTTCTTTATACCTTGGCTTTATTTTTAAATAAAAACTATTATGGAAAGCCAGAAACAGAGGAGTTGACAGGATAATAAAATGAACCCCTATGTACCTCAAGTCTGGCTTCATTAATTGAGAATTCATGGCTAATCTTGTTTCGTTTATACTTCCTGTATTATTCTGAAGCAAATCCCAGACATTATATGATTTTCTCTGTCACTATTTCAGTGTATATACTGACTTTAGATGAAATTTTGCCTAACCCATTTCTTTACATCTACCATAGTTTGGCTGAAATCACTGACTTCCATTACAATGTACTTATGTTATATCAAACATCAGCATTAAACCTGGGCAACATAGAGCCTGTCTCTGAAAAGAAAAATTAACTGGGCATTGTGGTGTGTGCCTATAATTCTAGCTATTCAGAGGCTAAGATGGGCAGATGGCTTGAGCTGAGGAGTTTAGGCTGTAGTGAGCCATGACTGCACCATTGCATTCCAGTCTGGGCAACAGAGTGAGATCTTGTCTTTAAAAAAGAAAATCAGCATTGGATCAGTGTTATTTAATTTACTATTTTAAAATGGCCTCTATAAGAATTCAATTATTTTAATATGGCATGCCTCACCAACCTCCCTCGTGACATCCTCTCCTGCTCTCCCCGCTCTAGCCTTTTAATACCCTGAGCAAGTAAGCCCCTAGAAACTTCTCTATATGCTATTCTCTCTATCCAAAATGTTCTTGGCCCAAACTTCCCCACCTCCTATGCCGACTTATCCAAAAGGCACAGTAA